TCACAGCAACAATTTTTACAAAATATTTGTATGTCGATCATTGCTTCTATCAGTTCGATCCTTTCCAGAATTATTGCTACTTTAAAAACATAGAGATGTGATGAGTGTCAGAAAGCTGTTGCTAATGGATTACAACCGTCCCGGATGAATTTGTGATTTAATAATTGTTTTTCGCTAATAGCAAAGATGAATAAGGCTAGAAAGCAAGCATCCTAAGGGAATTAATACAATAATTTTTTGGATTGTGAATATGTTTTGGCAAATTTGTAATAAACATACTTCATCCTTTTCAAAACCAAATATTCATCTGGGACAGAAGCAATCCACGTTGAGGTACGTTATAGTGGGGGAAGTCGCAGGTGGACTTGAGGTTAAGTAGTCCACATTTTCAAGAACGTATATGTGAAACGTGTACAATTATGGTCCCCGTCGACGTTTTCCTCTGAGTGGCCCTTATTAACGCGATCGAGCAGGATGAACGTATTTAAGGAAAATTGTAAACCAATTCATAAGTGGAAATAATCCTTTGGGCAATGATGTTATTTTAAATTCTATTCGAGAAGGCAAGTTGATATCGATGCAAACAATGTCAAAATATGATTTAGTTTAGAAACAAAATGTTGTATTTTTATGAAAATAAGTGGCCGCCTACATTTTGTATCATTTGAGATATTGGTCGATTAATATCAGTTTTATCAGCGGTTCTAAAAGTGGGCTCTCGTGGTGCCTCTCATTTCTAATTACAATCGCACCAATTAACCCAATGTTAACTGATAAGAACATGCAAACTATCTTCCGAACATTCAATTCATGTAGTCTTCTCCTGTTTTTTCCTGGCAGAACTTGAGGAAATTATCTTACATCTTCAATATCAGGCTTCCTGGCCCTTCCTGGTCTAATCGCGTTAAATTATGACAGCTACATGGACATCCTTATCTTTTTCTCACACCTACAAGCTCATGCCCTCAAACATATCATACACCTACAGTTACTCCAGTTTACATGAACCAGACCCAGGCCAGAATATACGTTTTTACAAAATGTATATAACTCCGTAAAGTACGCAATGTCTCAATACAAAGTATGAGTACAAATATGTCCATCCACCATTGCAAAAAGCAAAACGAAAAGTAAAAGTTCGTAGACATAAAATGTTAAACCAACCAGTGATTTTACATACCTTTTCTTGGATTTGGTTTTAAATGTTAATCAAATCATTCTCCATCTGGTTAGCTTTCTTCTTTCTTGTATTATGAGGTGACGACTGAAGGGGAACCGTATTTATAGACTAGGAGTGTTTTTGATAACCCCTAGGCACTGAATCTGGCATGTATACCATGAACATCGGACGTTGCTAACTCTGTTTTACTTCCGTAATCAATTTGCACAGGTAAATGTATCATAATTGGAATTGTTTATAGTTTTGGTAGGTGAACGACTGAACATGTGTCTGCAGTATGTTGAAATATTGATACATCCGGGTACACTACCCTGCAAATCAATTACCCGTATGTCTATCAGAGGACACATGACTTCCCATTGACCAATGAGACAACATAAATGAACCATGTGATGCGTTTTGAGAGAATACCTTCAGCTTCGTTTGGTAGGGATTTCCGCACAACTGTTAAGTAATAAAGGGGCACTTTGTTTTATGAATCAGTTCATTTATGCAAGCAACGCGCAGGTAATTTGTCTTATTTACTATCAAAACTTCGGAAACAGCAGGTAAAGTTAAACTGCCAAAATATTAATTATGGTATACTAGAGATGATAAAAAACAGATAACTAGCCACGTCTGTGCGGTACAATATAGCGTCTGTACTGAATGTACTTCGCAACCCACAACTTCTCCCTGGCATAATGTGTTACTGATATGAAACCTCATATAATCTCTACTTCCAAAATCATCACATTTGTTACCTCTTGAGTAACTGAAAGAAACGCTTTAGATCTTCAAGTTCACATGCTTTATGAAGCACTTGCAAAACAACAACAATCGAAAGTTTCAAAAATCCAAAAGATGAACTTTAAGAAGCCAACTTTATAGCTTATGATTATAAAATCCAAATACAAAATAATAGCAGAAAGTAATATATTTTTCAAAGAAAAAGTTTCTAATATATTTCCATAAGTTACACTCCCCTACATAAGTTCGGTAACAGGAAGTATTCCGTTGATACCGTTATTTAAAGCCTGTTTTTATGTGTTTGAATCTTTAATTGTTTATTTTATTTTTTATTTATTTATTTGCTAAAACACTTTTAGAAGAGTGGCACATACAACATTGTAGTGCAGCATTTATACAGTTACATCTATGTAGTAAAACATACATATTAGAAATATACATGCATATTAAAAGGTGATTAAAAAGTGATTACATGTCATACAGTCTTACTTTAATGGCAGTATATAATTTGACTAAAAATCGCTTTAGATAACTGTTAATTTGTTCCTTTAAATCAATAAATCAAAAATTTATGACTTTGATGATTTTTTAAACGGCCAAACATAAACAGACTTTAACCTGAGAATCAGAAGAATATTTCCGGTTGCCAAAATTCAAGATTGGGCTGTATATCATAATAAACGAGTTTGCTAAACCTCTCTAAAATGACTCAATAATTTTATTGATGATGAGAACTTCAGAATTATGAGAATTTAACGCATCGCAATGATAAACCATGATAAACCACTTTCGAATCAGCGTTTGCATCTGACACCACGTCGTCTCATAATCTAACATCTTTTTCATGTTGAAACAAGAAACATAAAAATACAATTGAAACAATTCAAAGAAATTCTCGTTGCAAAAGAACACGAGTCATGGTATACTGCATTGTGGAACGATAACCGTAACCCTGTAAATGGTAATAAGCTACGAGTATACCGGTGTGAAAGAAATAATGGTCCCTCAGGGATTATGGTCCCCTTTCTTAACGGCCCTTACTGGCCCTGATTGCGTATAAGATAATGAGGGAAAGTGTTGTATTTAGGTCACCATATAAATCAATGGAGAGTAGGACCATAATTTGAAAGGACCTCCTACCCTTTTACACCGGCTTCATAAAATCCATGCTTCACACCCAGAACACTATGTAACTATTTCCATGCATAAACACGAGCGCAGCAACTTAGCAAGATTACGCTCAGGAACTTTACCGCTGAAGGTTGAAACAGGCAGGTTTCAAGGTATTCCCCTTCAAGAAAGATTATGCATGTGTCAACAAGGGGTCGAAGATGAAATGCATATCCTCATTGACTGTGATCTTCATACTTGTGCACGAAGGGATTTTATTCAACTTTGCAAAAAAGAAATAACTGACTTTAATACATTATCTAGTCTAGCTAAATACTGCTCAATTATGAACAATTCTATTTTACAAAGACCATTGGCAAAAACTATACATAAAATAATGTGCAATAGAAGAGAATATGATATTTAAAACTTTTACATCTGAGCATATTTTTGATATATTTTTACATTGCTTTCTTGAGTCTCTCATACGCCGAAGCCGGCGGGACTGTTAATTATTGCTATTTTAGTATGTATATTGTTAAGAGTGTGAGACTTTAATAAATATTTTACTAACTAACTAACTAACATAATTTTACTAAGAAATTAAGGCCTCAGCTGCATTTGCTCTACGGCGGGCGTACGGCGGCCGTAGCCTCACAAAATCGATATGGAAAGTCTACATTGTACTGCTGATCTTATGCTGCATATTTCTCTGGGAAGCTGCGGCCGTCGTTCGATTGCCGTGGAGGTAATGTGACTGAGGTATAACACGCTATTCAATGGGGATATCAGGATACAGTGGAGGGTCATTAAAGTTTCTTTGACATGATGATATTGCATCTGAATGCATCCGAACGTATAACAAAGTTACAGTGTCATCTTTGACACTCTTCATATTAAAGTCAATACAATTTTGATCGCCATCTTTCTTGCGGCCGATTATTTCGGCGCAAAGTAAAATTAGTAAAATAAGAAATACCATACGACAACGCCATCTATCAATACCAGGGGAACTACATATCTAAATTACAAATGTAAACTCTGGATAAACATAATGATGAAAAAACAGTTGAACAGTTTTCAAAAGTAATTGAAATTTAAAAAAATAGTAAGTTGTGTTTTTATAAATATTTGAATTTTCCGCCATTTTATTAACAAATGTTAAGATTATATGTGTATAACTTCACTTGATTTAATCATGAAATTAATTATTTTCTCAACACTAGAAGGATTGAAAACGAAACTGGATAAACTAAAGCACCCTATGCTTAGTGAGCTGAGCTATTTTCAAGGGTGATGGTAAAGACGAGGCATGGCGCCCAAACCCGGCCTGTAACTAGGTGCACTGATGCTTTTTCGCAAATTACATCGCCATTGCTCGTCATCGAAATTCTGATCGCCGAATAGACACTCTAGTAAACATTCATTTTGTATTGGATGTACATAACTAGAGACCGCCTTATTTCGCATATATGAAAAAATAAAACATATCTAGGTACATATATCTTTATATGTGACATCGATCAGGAATTATTGACATATTGACAATATTAGGTTGTAATTTCTTGCGGTAAATTCAAATTGTATCTTTAAACGACTGTTTCATCTTAACTATTCGTTTTATTGGATGTAAAACAAACGGTATGCATAGTTTAACATCTTTCACTTCTAAAACAGCATAAAATATCACAATATCATCACCTTATGCTGCAATAATACGACTTAAAAGATGATGGTACTAATATTCTTTGGTTTTTGGGCGCCATGCCTCGTCTTACCATCACCCTTGAAATTAGCTCCGCTCACTAAGCATAGGGTGTAAAGTGATGCCTGGGATTGTCCAACATCGGGGATCGGGTTTTAACTCAACCTGTTTAAAATGATTAATTTGTATTGCCATACGAGATTTGCTCATAAATAGCTTAGCCTTTATCTCACCATTCATACATGGGCCATCGTACTTGATTTAATGTGAACCTTTGGACAGTCCTGATCTTCTCAAAGTACGTATTTGTGTCTACTAAATGCAAGAAGATAAGTTGAATTACAAAGTTATACTTACGAGTCAATCATTTGAATTCATTAAACACCATTGGCATAGATGTCCAAGGCCCCGGTCAGAGCTGGGGGGTTGAGCGGCAAAGTTGCCGTTATAACAGCGGGAAGTACGGGGTAAGTGATTTGATATGTGCATATGGCTTCCATAATATCAAATTCTACAATGTCACTGCGAATGTAGCTCAATAGTAAGGATTTTAATCGCATTTGGTTATTGGTTTGATTGGCTATGTCTAGATATACGGATGCCTTTTGATGCATTTGTTTACTTCAAGAGTCAGCAAAAGCTTAAAAGAAGAGTTAAGACAGAATTGCCACAAGCAATAAATATTGTCATACAACAATTCTAAAGGTCATATCAATGTTTTCATTTTCAAGGTTATGTTGCAATACTTTTGAGAAAGTCCCCTTTTATTTCCAAAAACATTTGAAACTTCCGCATCTTGAATTTTAGGAAACATTTTAATAATGTACAGTTATTGCTTGCAAGGGTTTATTGTTTGTCTCCGTTGGTTATTCAATAATGGAAAGGCAGAGATGCAAAGCATGTACACTTGCTTTCATAATTTCGATCTCCTTATTACTGGTGTGGTCTGAGATGTTTTCTTTGGCTTGTTGTGTTCTGTAACCATTTTTTGGTGTTTTCCCGTTGGCACTTGCACTAACAGATTGACATCATAGGAATAATCTACTTTCAGCATTGGGTTCGCAATAGCGAGGCGTCTTGCCCAAGATGGCGCACACGTTGTCATTAGCAGCAGGAATCAGAAGCACGTGGATGATGCCGTGAAAGCATTGAAGGAAGAAGGTCTACGTGCCAGTGGAATTGTGTGTCATGTCGGCAAGGCTGAAGACAGACTGAAGCTCATAAACGAGGTTGGTTGTCACTGGTTGGTTTGTACGCACTGTTTTAAAATATATCTGCTGTTTTTGTCCGATTCAACAGATCGAAGGATTCATCCTTCAGTTCTTATTGAGTATGATTATAATAACAACCCAGGCAATTCTATTCTGCTACCCCACTCCACCAAATTAAACTTTAAACAGCAAGGCCTCCTCGGATGTGATTGGCAGTTCTTCATTTATAAGTGGTACTTACTTGTAGACTGTCAGGACACTGGGTGGGTTGGACATTTTGGTATCTAATGCAGCTGTCAACCCAACATTTGGACCTGTGCTTCAGACTACAGAGACTGTTTGGGATAAGGTATGTACATAATATAAATAATGTAGTTCAAGGTATAGAAGGTAGAAAATATGAAATACAGATTTTCTGACAATCAACTCTTCAGTGGGTCTACCTTAAGAGTCTAGACGTCATTTTGTTTAAAAATGTAAAATTATATGTCACAGCAAAAAAAGAACTATGCAACAATGTTGTCCCAATTATTAAGTGTTTTGAACATGACTCACAAGTGTTGTGACATGAATAATATGGGAGCATAACAAACTAAAACTACAGGAAGAATATGATTATTTTCAGATATTCGATGTGAATTTAAAAGGAACGTTTTTTCTTATCAAAGAAGCGGCCCCACATATTGAAAACAGGGGGTAAGTTCCCAGAATTCTTCTTATGTATTAATTGTATGAATAAATATTAAACTTTGCACTGAGTAAAGCTTTCTGTAAATATGTGAAAAATATTAATGGTTTTTACAGGGGAGGTTCCGTGATTTTGGTGTCATCTCAAGGCGGATATATTCCCTCCGAGGTAGAAAACTGAACTGCGCAAGCGTGCATTATTGTCCCATTTTAATAGGGAAATCCGGGGCAAGACTATAGTCTACTGGAAGTAATGGGATTGAGTATTCGTCTTGTTCTTGGTTTTCCTACTGCACATTGACTGTCGATGTGGGCCGACAAAGCTCTTCACTCTTGCTCCATGGGAATCCACCTCCTCTAATACGTTCTACATCATATCTCAGTTTGTGGCTTACTTATGTATTAATGGGTTTTATATATTTTCAATAGAGGTGGGTCGGTGATTCTGACTGCGTCATATACGGGTTATCTTCCAGAAGAGGTACTCTTATCCCACCATTCTTTAGTGAATCTTTCCTCTCTTGCTAGCTAGCATTATAGTTATCATCGGTGGTGGTCGGTGAGGAAAATCAGATATTGCGCCTAATGTAGAACCCAACCACGTGACCTAACTTCTAGTGTAGTAACCGCATATTCAAAGTGCTTATAATAAGGTGTTTGCAAGTTGAGAATTGCTTAAATACCCAAATCTGTTTTTGTTCGCATGATATGCAAAATCTTAACAAATTGTTTGGTGTCATTATGATTTCGAGCTTCGACAAAGCATGGGCTCTACCACCAGAGCCCATGGACAAAGCGAACTTACTGTAACTATGTAGATGTGTAGATAAATGCTTAAATGCTTCCTTGTCCACCCCGAGAGGAAGTGAACACATTTTTATTGGGTAGTTACCACACGCCTAAACATCGCGTAAGCAGGCGTCACCGTACAGCGTCAAAAATACAGTAGTACAGTTTTCTGTACGGTGACGAAAATTAACTGAGTTGAAGCAAAAACTATAATGAGGGTTTTAAAAAGATTAATTAGATATAAATAAATACGATTTCGGGTGTAATAAAAACAGCGTTCTCTTAGGAATGTTTTTAACTTTCTAATTATGATAAAAGTTTTTCGAGCACTGCTCGGATTTTTTCTGACTGGATCGGCCCACACATTCGACTCGAGAGAAAAATGTTGTTTTTTCACTTTTCGTTTGGTTATTACTTTCCCTGTCGTCTGAGAGTATGGATTATTTTTATGAGAATATGTATTTGTTATCTACACATTTTAGGACAGATGAATATTCGGCAAAAAATCATTCACTGTATTTATTCAAAAAAGATCAGAACTATACGGTGACGCATCAGCTGTACGGTGACGCTTCCTTAGATTTTATGAAGTGCTCTAAGCTTACTGTTCGAACAAGAGGTAAAGAAGCGTCAGATCTACATGTACATTATCACTGGTAAGTATCAAGCGAAGGTTACAGCCGTCACCTTCGCATTTAAGATGGCGGACAGGAAGTATTAATTTCGATATTTTTAGTTTTCATGGAATTAACTATTTGAAAGTTGACGTAATGCTTTGGTATCATTTAAACTAAACCAGACTTTTCTCATATGACTAACAAAGATAGCCTACACAGCCATCTTTACCCCATGCAAGATATTGCATCTTTCATTCTAAAAAGTCACACGTGCAAGATGAGATTTACTTGTGACATCCCTTGTTTTAAAACATCAATAACATAGCAACAAGAGAGTTTTTGGTTTCATGATCTTTACCGTATCATACATTTCCAGTAACCTTCCATTAACCGGTGGAAGATATCGTTGAACTGTAGCGTCCATGCGCTATATATGAACAAATGATCATACTCCAGAGTTTCCATTTCATACAATCTCAGTCTCATTTAGTTCATCAAAGCATAGCGTCACCGTACAGCTGGTGCGTCACCGTACAAATTTGATCTTTTTTAAATATACATAATGCATGGTTGTTTGCTGAATCTTCGCCCGTTCTAAAATAAGTAGTCAACAAATACATATTCTCATAAAAATAATCCATACTCTCAGAAGGCAGGGAAAATAATAACCAAACGAAATGTGAAAAAACAACCTTTTTTCACTTGGGTCGATTATGTGGGCCGATTCACTCAGAAAAAATCCGAACAGTGCTCGTAAAACGTTTATCATAATCAGTAAGTTAAAACCATTTCTAAGAGAATGCTGTTTTTATTTCACATGAAATCGTATTAGTTTTCATCAAATTAATTTTTTTTAAACCCGTGTCATAGTTTTTGCTTCAAAGCAGTTAATTTGCGTTACCGTACAGAAAACTGTACTCCGCTATTTTTTGACGCTGTACGGTGACGCCTGCTTACGCGATGGTAAGGCGTGTACCAGTACCTTTATCAAAGTTATTTGCTCATAGACCAATGAAGTCATGAGATTTTGCATCCACCATTTTAAAATATTTGATCTAAATCAATCAAATAGCAATGAACATAGACCATTGAGGTTATTGTTTAAAAATATGAATCGATAAACCATGACATCTCATTTCTTCTCAGCCTTGAGGTAAAACAGAAAGATACTGTGAGTATCAGAATGATTAATATGCATTCATAAAGGAAACCCCGATAAATAAATAAATAAATAAATGAACTTTCTGAAGCCATTTTCTGTACTTCAATATAACTTAAGTAGTCAGGTCAAATATCTCATACATCTTGTCTTTCTATTCAGTTCCTTGCCGCATATTCGGTTAGTAAGACTGCCATGCTCGGGTTGACTAAGGCTCTCGTACCACAACTCTCTCAGATGAACATTCGTGTTAATGCGATCGCCCCTGGTGTCATCAAGACTAACTTCAGCGGAGCTGTAAGTCACCATCATATTTATTTTTACAGGGTGGACCAAAATGTCGCCATTGCTTAATTATTCTTTAGGCCCCTCCAGTAAGATCATATTTGTATAGAAGAGAATTGAGTTTTTGATGTTTTACAGTACATGCATGTTATTCATCAAGACGATGTCAGTCAGAAAAACTGTAATTGCGATTGGTACATTTGTAATACTCTGCGGCTACCCCTGAAACATGCAGCATAAAGCTTACACACTAACTGAATATTTTTCAGCTGTGGAAAGATCCATCGGTGTCCGATGAAATCGCCGCACGAATCCCAATGAAAAGGTATGGGAACCGGAACTCGTCTCATTAAATGTATGTCAGTAAAAAGGATTACTTGCGAATTGAACATTATGATGCGATCTTAATTTGAATATGATCTACATATACGAGTACATATGCGAGTACCATGTATACATATACTAACTAGTACTTGTCCATCTTAATATTCTGTTCAAAAGTATATATTGTTCACTTTGTGTCTTTTTGTATTCCGAGGAGCTTTTTAAAGAACACAATTATTTTAACATTGTAAGCAGTGGTAGCTAACACTTACTTTGTATTTGAAGGCTTGGTGTACCCGATGAGTGCGCAGGAGCTGTATCATTCCTAGTGTCCAGTGATGCCTCATACATAACTGGAGAAACTATAGTGATGAATGGTGGTTCACAGTCAAGACTTTAACATTTCTAGTGTCCAGTGATGCTTCATACATAACTGGAGAAACTATAGTGATGAATGGTGGTTCACAGTCAAGACTTTAACATTTCTAGTGTCCAGTGATGCCTCGTACATAACTGGAGAAACTATAGTGATGAATGGTGGTTCACAGTCAAGACGTTAACATTTCTAGTGTCCAGTGATGCTTCATACATAACTGGAGAAACTATAGTGATGAATGGTGGTTCACAGTCAAGACTTTAACATTTCTAGTGTCCAGTGATGCTTCATACATAACTGGAGAAACTATAGTGATGAATGGTGGTTCACAGTCAAGACTTTAACATTTCTAGTGTCCAGTGATGCCTCGTACATAACTGGAGAAACTATAGTGATGAATGGTGGTTCACAGTCAAGACTTTAACATTTCTAGTGTCCAGTGATGCCTCGTACATAACTGGAGAAACTATAGTGATGAATGGTGGTTCACAGTCAAGACGTTAACATTTCTAGTGTCCAGTGATGCTTCATACATAACTGGAGAAACTATAGTGATGAATGGTGGTTCACAGTCAAGACTTTAACATTTCTAGTGTCCAGTGATGCCTCGTACATAACTGGAGAAACTATAGTGATGAATGGTGGTTCACAGTCAAGACGTTAACATTTCTAGTGTCCAGTGATGCTTCATACATAACTGGAGAAACTATAGTGATGAATGGTGGTTCACAGTCGAGACTTTAACATTTCTAGTGTCCAGTGATGCTTCATATATAACTGGAAAAACTATGCTGATGATGAATGATGGTTCACAGTCAAGACGTTAACATTTCTCGTGTTTAGTGATGGCGCGTATACATAACTGAAGAAACTATAACAACGAACGGTAGTTCGAGTGTGACTTCTATTCTGTAACAACATTTATCCAATCCATTTTTAAATAAGTTTTGCTAAAATAACTGACATCAGTGTCGTTTATTTCGTCTCCAATCATTTTACGTTACTTTACTCCTGATAAAATATACAGGGGGTACTATAAGGCACCCTCATATCTCAGACACTAATAAATATATTAACTTGAAATTTTGGGGAATTAGTTTTAGTATGATGCTTGACACGTGTGACAAAGATCAAGAAAAAATCTTAATCCGTTGCTATAGCAACAGTAACAGAACACAGATTTTCATAATTTCTTCATATTCTTGATTCTTAAAGCATCTGAAGTATATACTTATCTATTATATACATGATTAGAAGTAAAGATAATAATTCATCATTTGGTTTATGTAATACATCTAACATTTCAGTTGCTATGGTAACATCATCAGGTTTTTACATTTCACTTTCTTTAAAAAGGTGGTCCAAAATAACACTTCTTGAAAAGGTTATGCCCATTGGGTAAAAGAAAGTGCTGCTTTAGAGATAAATAGTCATATGAATTTGTTAAAAAAATTATAACTTAATTTTACCCCATCTCGACAGCCACCAAAGATGATTATGGTCTGGCAAAATACATTAATTTTCTAGGTTCAAATAAAAAATGCCCCAAGAAGCTATACCATGGATCCTAGTGGCCCCCAGAAGTTAAACAGGGCCCCCAGTGGCGCCGGCCTCCAGAAGCTAAATGGTGGCTAAAAAACTAAAATATCCATAGCAGACAAGTGAATTCGGTCCAAAAAATCACGCTCTTACAAAGTTTTGACAACTGTTTTAACGTTTTGATGAATGTAAACAAAGGAAGTTAGTTCGCTAAAGCCTAACATACACCAATACGACATTGAAGCCCACGAAGCCCCATTGAGAATGAACCTGTTCATTCTTTCCATTGGGCATCGTGGAACTTTTGATCATGGGATGTGTCAGCTAACTTGGGATCAAAATGACCGCGACAAAACCTTGGAGAGGATGTAAAGCACTAATATTTCTTTTGGCTTCAGGTTTTATGCACTTTCAGATTATTTCCCTCCTTGAACATTGCTCAACTAGAGGCAATTTTTACATAAACATAAGAGACACATGTTATTATGTTCTACAACTAAACAATTTATGACACATATAATACAAAGCAACTGCAAGTTTTCTTATGATAACATATCAAGGTCTGTCAATGTTTGAACCTTGATTTTGTTCCCTATTGCTTTATTTCAAAAACTTGATGACTTGTTTAAAATTGCCAAACAGCATGACAAGCTTTGATAAGTGATTCAAAGGGGGACTTCCAGTTACAAAACTTATGATGGGGAGTGTAATATAACATATTATCATCATAATTCATTCTTAACATACCATAACTACATGAACAACATTAGGATAAAATGGCATCTGAAATACAATTTTGAAAAATGTTATAAGTACACATACATGTATTTCCTATTGCTGACCACACATACCCTAAACGGTTTTATGGGGTATGGCAATGATAAGCTGTAAAAAATATAAAATGGTAGATAATGAATATGTTTAGCATATCATGATGTCACATATAGTGTTAAGATTTATTTAGAATAACACATTTTGCTATAATCTATTTGACCCTAGCAATAAGTTCAACAACTGAAGTGTAAGGTGCCACGCCCCCTTTCTTGAATTTTTAGGGGAAGGCAAAGAGAAAAATCAGAAAAATAGATGCATGTACTTTTTATTGAAACTTATGCAATGGATATTTGCTAACATCATCAGTGAAGTTTTTAATCAAGTTTTATACACCATAGGCCCTTACTGTTTTTTAAATGACTGATTAAATGAGAGATTAAATAGTTTCAAGCATATGGTCAAACTCCGACTCGAAAATGATAACATTTGCTGACTCAGCACTTTTGAGCCTGCTTTGCAAGGGTTCACAATTTTTTTTACATGCCTTGGGGTCCCCTACAAGAATCTAAAGTCAAATCTTAAGTCAAATTGAATCTAGGTGTTTTGGACACAATGGCCTTGGCCGTAGTACTAGCTAGTGACTGGAGATGTCAAATCAAAATGCTGCTGTTCTAGAACTTGTCAAATTCTGGAAACTAAGATATCAGCAAGAGTGCAGACTTGAGCTGGCAAATAGTATAACACTAATCATCAATTTGACAGCTATCAACGGGAACCGAATAATTGCTGAACTGGACATTGGTAGACAGTTAGGCATCACTGATTGGACATTCACATATAAGTATTGAACTTCTTCTATATTATTTCTTTTTCGTAAAACAGTTGCATGTATCGCCTAATATCGACCTATCTTATGTATTATGTCCTCAGTCGACCCCGCCATTTTATCGATCACTCTATTTACAATTCAGCACAAAACTCAATAATGAATAGAGATTTCACTCACATGTAAACAGATAGATTGCGCTGCTAACTAGCTCAAACTGGCAAGCAGTGGTATTGATTAGCATTATTTAAAAGGCAATTCGTCCTTCAGTTAACCTTCAAGCACATGGTGTGTACTTTATTATGAGCCGAATACTGAATGATCTCCCTAATATGGTGAAAAAGGCGGAGCTATCGGGAGCAATCTGGTACAGCATAAATACTAACAGTAACGAGTCGTTCGAAATCATGGTTGTTATTAAAAAACAATGTTAATCTGTTGAATCAATCAGTCACAGTGCATAAAGAGCAACACTCTATACAGTCGACATGACCTTAAATTGCATTGAGGTGTTGCTGTGTATAATTATCTTTTACAAACATTGTAATGGTATCGATGGTTTGGCATATGAGTTGAGCATTTAGATCATACCTTGGATACGTGCACCCTTTATGCTAATGTAACATTTGTTTTTTCCAATGTCAAAATATCGAGAACATTCATTATGCCTGATTTTTGTGAATATAAACAGAATGAGTTGTGCTGGATTTAGATGTTGTGATATGGATTTTAGTAGAGTCTAATGTGGAGATTACAGATGGATAGATGCAGGATCCTGTAGTAAATCAAGTGCTGAGATGTCTTCATAGGAACCTCAGCTATTCTGATTATCACGAAGAACATCATGGCTGGATTTTCAATGACACTGAACGAATATGCAAACTAAAAACACGGAAGTATAGATCAGGCCGCCGACGGAATATGGAATCCATTTTGACCCCTACGACTGAAGAGGGCATTCTAAAGGGCAATAACGATTTCAGTGGAGAATCACAGTTACCTGAGGGTGTTACGTCACCAAGATTCTACTCGGACGATTCTGATATGTACTCGGATTCAGATAGAACAATAACTGATGTTGATTCGGACGTCTGCTCCCCAGGAAGATCTTTAAGCGTCTGCTCTGATGACCTTGAATCTTTTGTTTCAGAGGACGCTGATACTGAACTTGACTTCAGCCACTTAAATGACGATTTGGACTTAATAACCAAAGAACTTTCGAATACTGGGCTCAAGAATGATGATGTTTCTGAATTCGTTAATCATTTAAAAGACGAAGACAACACTATCCCAATGATTCGTGTGGACAACCGGCCGGTGACTGATGCCACTAAAATGCCAGCTTTCAAGTTTGCTCACAGGTCACAGTCACCTATGCTTTTTGAAGACCGCGAGTTTAATTTCGAGAAACAAGAACTGAGAAGGAGTACATCTCTTAAAACTTCAAAAACTCCACCGGGGACCCCCGGACGGAAAAAGGTCGTGCGCTTCGCGGATGCACTAGGCCTTGACCTGGAATCGGTCAGACACATATTAAACATGGAAGCGCCCCCTTTAATACCCATCTCAGCAATCAAAGATCTTAAAGATACATTAGACGAAGAACAAAAGACACAAGGATCTAAAATACTATCCCCCATGTTTGAACAACCAGGGTCAAGGCCTGACTTTATCAAAAGAGTCCACGAGAAAAAGGTGTGCTTAGAAAATGCCTTAATCTCAGGTATGACCGTCATGGGGACGGTACGGGTTTCTAACATAAACTTTGATAAAACAGTACGTGTAAGATACACTTTTGATAACTGGAACTCCTTTTTGGAAGCTGCTTGTACATATGTCCAAGATTCGTGTGACGGAAGCACAGATAGATTCTCATTTACAATCAGTGTTCCCCCAGAGTTCAACGTCGGGCATAGGATGGAGGTGGCCCTGTGTTTTCGCCTTCCAAGTGGCCAAGCCTTCTGGGACAACAATGACGACAGTAATTATGGGTTCACGTGTTTTGCAAAAGCTTCACCCACAGTGGAGTCAGATTCAAGTTGGATGCATTTTGTGTGATGCCATGCATCATGGCTTGTAAATAGGTATGTATACTATATTCTTGTTAACTGTGAAACTGATGTCAAATGGTCTTTCGATATCTTCCTTGTGATTTCTGGACGGGTCACTCTTCAGGCATATCATCCCCAGTGTATTTTCCCAAGACCTTTTATCCCTTAATATTTCGGCACAAGACATGCCATCCCTAGGTCCTTCACCCCAAACTACCCCATCCCATTTCACCCCTAGATCGTACACCCCTAGAGACTTCATCCTCAAATATTTCACCTTTAAATCTTTGATCCCCAGATCGTTCACCCATAGACATCTTCCCTCGTAGATACTTCCCTCATACATACTTCCCCACTAGATCCTCCATCCCTAAGATCTATCACCCCAAGTCACTCCATCCCCAGATATTTCATGGGTCGTCCATCCCTAGAGACTTAATTCCTAGAAATTCTATATTCGATAACTAGAGAGTTGGGTAACACATACAAAAATGAGTGTTTTGTAATGTTCATGTACAAGAGAGATAGACAATGCATCATATAAAAGAGGAATGTCTCTACTGATTCAAGTACTAGAGAGTTAAGTAATTCTCCACACAAGAGTAGTGTTTGATTGTATTGTATTCTATATTTACCTGAAGTATATAAGAGAGTTACAATAGTACATTAATTGTGAATAAACACATAAATAAGACAGACAGATCTTCAACACTAGTTGTATCGTTGTATACATAGATTTCGTTTAGTGCTAGCCTTTCTTGATCGTACATCTCGCATTGACAAAGAAAATGTTCGATTGATTCTATTTTATTTAAGTTGCAGACATCACACAATCGACCGTTTTCTTTTGCTCTATCCCACTTTTTGTGACCGTTTAGACCTTACAACTGACCAGTCATTAACTTCACAACAGTTGTTTTTTCAATCGTGGCATCCTTTGACACAGATCATATCAGCTATTTGGAATTAGACATGAGTGACCATTGATAAAATAAGTTAAACCTTGATATAACATGCATCTTATTCGAAACATAGATTCTTGTAGGTCTTTCTTTGATGCTTCTGGTAAAATAACTTGTTTATCATGGTTTTTGTTCAACAGAAGTCACGCTTCGTGTAATGTAGAAGGTCTGCCGGTTATATTTCATGCAACAGAGACGTGTTTGGTAATATCATTACGTTTTAGAGTGATACCTCTCGATCAAATGTCTTTTGTGATAGACAACGATTCTCATTCATTATTTCAGGCTTTAAATTCTCAATCGTTTAACTAATTATGTTTCGAAGAAAGAACTTTAAACCCATAGACTTATAAATATCTAAACAACAAGTGTTTCAATTTCACACTCATTTAAGCTATTGGACCCTTTTAATTCATCAACAAAATTGTAATACATATTGGTTTCCAAAATTCACTTTTTGATTAAATAATTAATTCCAAATTTCATTCCAGGCGTTGAATTGTGCAATTATGATTAGGAGTCGTGTAAACAAACAAAGTATTTCGTGAAGACTGAAGGAAAACGATAAACAGCCACAGTTATTGCCTTTATGTGGCTTATAGCTGCAATTCTCATCAAAATAAAAAAAACTTAGATTTTAATAATTCATAATCATACGTAGCTTGCAAAATCAATAGACATGGAGATAAATTTTCTTTTCTGTAATCATCCAAGCTTGGAATAATTGTTTATGTCATAATAGAAAATGTGTAAATAGTGGTGATTGTATTCCTTATTACAGTAAAATTTCAAATGTTAGGAACTACTTTGAATTTGAAAAATAAGCAATCAAATATGTATAACTACTTGAAATATGTATAATAATGTATAATAATTTTAGTTTTACATATTCTGTTTCAATATGGTCCTTTAATTGCTTATTTTTAGATTCAAATAATTCCAAACATTTAAAATTTTACTGTACGTAAAGACGTTTTGTCAAACATATATGGTATTTTCAGAAAAATAAAGTTTTTATCCACGTCTATTAATTGTGTAAGTTACATATTATGATGAATCAATAGATATTGGAAGGATATTTAAGGATAAGAACAACAGCTATTGGCCCCTTAAGACGAGTAATCACGTGTCGTATAATATCACCCTATGCAGACAGAGCCTGTGGGAAATATTGGGTGCGGCGCAAATGAGCGGAGGGTGCGGAGCTAACGGTCATTTTTGAATTTAAAATTGGGATATTTCTGAAACTAAGCCGTTTTGGGACTTCAAATATACCAAGATATGTGTATTTGACACCAAATATGAATAAAATTGTGAAAATAGTAGTGCAATTCATTTTATAGCGACGCAGTATGCCTTAAACATTTCCCAGACCTATATATTTTGAGACTATCCTTTTAATACTGCGTCCCCAGCATTCATAAAAAATGGTGTTCAAGATACACTACCCATGCAAATTATTTTTGCATCTTGGAAGCCAGGCAGTATCTGTGTGATTTTATAAAAATTCGGAAATGTTCTTCAGATATGAGCCCCTCTAAATATTGGGTGCGGAGCTACGTTTATGGAGCTGCTCCGCACCCAATATTTAGAGGGGGCTCATATCTGAAAAATTTCCGAATTTTTATAAAATCACACAGATACTGCCTGGCTTCCAAGATGCAAAAATAATTTGTATAGATAGTGCACCTTGAACACCATTTTTTATGAATGCTGGGGACTCAGTATTAAAAGGATAATTTCAAAATATATAGGTCTGGGAAAGGTTTAAGGCACACTGCGTCGCTATAGAATGAATTGCGCTACTATTTTCACAATTGTATTGATATTTGGTGTCAAATACACATATCTTGGTATATTTGAAGTCCCAAAACGGCTTAGTTTCAGAAATATCCCAAATTTAAATTCAAAAATAACCGTTAGCTCCGCACCCTCCGCTCATTTGCTCCGCACCCAATATTTCCCACAGGCTCTGTCTGCATAGGGTGAATATGCTGTGTGGATATTAAGAATCTTAACTCATGTACGAGGAACGACCAGAATGTTGTGGGAGTATGAACCATATGATGCCATATAAAATTAAGGATAGTTGCAGTAGTGTTATCAATTAAATTGAACACACCTCTGAAATTGCAAATTGATGGATGTAAATCTGTTGCAGCCGTTTGAATGTTATATTTGTAGAACAATAGAGTGGTCAGAAATGTAGATTTTTTATTAGAGGCCACTCTGCAGTAACTGTGTTGATATATAGACGAGAATTATATTAAATGTTAAATATGGATATGAAAAGTCATTGAAGCATCGCTGAACAAAGCCATTTAAAGAGAAACCAACTTAGATGCCATAATCATTCCATATCGTCACTACAAGTACCAAACAAAAATTTCAAAAAGGCCTTAGTCAAGCTTTAGTGTCCTGTTTATGAACCCCTATTGATTGAAAATGAATTGTAATACTCAGCCAACATGAATCTACTCGTTGAGACTCGATAAAATTGAGTTCTTCTGAGAAAATGATGATTTCAGCAAGGGTGCCATTGACTTATTATTGGGATGCAATTGATTTCATCCTGTATCTCCACAGTACATATGCAGGATGAAATCACTATTGAATATCCCCATGTTAATTCAGTTACACCCTTGCTGATCAAAATCCTCATTTTCTCAGAAGAACTCAAGTTGATTGAGTCTCAACAAGTAGATTCATGTTTGTGGGTATTGCTAGAATCCATTTTCAATAGTTAGAAAAGGAGTTCTCAAACAGGACAGGTTGTTACTATATACTGTTAACTGCTAATGTACAGTCAGTCAGATATGTTATTCAATAATATATCTCTCTAAAATGCAACTTTGAACAACTGAAACGAAATCTTGTGGTCAAGATAAAATTTTGACACAGGACATTGTTTGCATTTGCTCTAGTCGTTGTATCTATGAAAGCACAAATGATCAGCTTAAGAGGTTGAATGTGATTTGGATCTCCATTTCTCATTTCATTATCATGTCTCGTTAACCTTTTAGCTTTTATATCACCAACATATATTTTATACCTCGTCATAAAAGACGAACTAACCATGTCATTTAAGCAATCCATGTCTCATGTTGAGTAAAACCAGTGGTGTCAAATGGATGACCAAAATGTTTAAAACGTTTGGAAACCTTTTCCCTCTTTGTTATTTAAAAACTCGTAAAAGGGTTGGCTTATTTTATTGATGATTCTATAAATTGACCTCATTTTCAGTTCCTCTGATTTGTCTGACTTTTTCCCTCACTTACAGAATGTCGTACCGTGATGAGACATTTGATTAATATTTAGAAATCGCCATGATCTACATGTTATTTCAAAACGAAACGATGGGTTTGCCACAATCATGATAACATGCTGCTTTTGCTTCGTGAAATAAAAAGTTACGGAGTTTCGAAGTCGATTATGAAAATCATTCTCGCCTCCAATGTTATGACATAAAACGGATTTTTGAAATCATATTTGACTTTGAGGAACTATAACTTTTTGGCTTCTTAAAACTTATTACTTTTTTGTCAAATGAAGTTTGCAAAATCATTTTTTTATTTATGGAATGCTGACATAAATGGATAGCCCGCATATATGAGATATCAGCAAGCCCAACAGCGTCAATTGGATTACACACAAATGGCGACTCTTAAATGTTCATCACTTATGTTATCAAAGTTTGACGTTTTGTGAGTGGAGAAAAAATTCAGACAAAAAATGAGGCGATGGAAATGGAGTCAATTTATATAAGCATTACTAAAATAAGCCCAATACTTACTGGTTTTTGAAGTAAAAAGTTTCCAAACTTTGGACAGGAGTGTACATATACACTTTTGCCATTCATTTGCAAATATATTTATTGTAGTCATAGACGCCTTGTATTTGTTTATATTATTCATAATTATATAGCAGTATAAGATTGTTAAATATTAAAATATATATAATACATTTTAAATTGGACACTGTTGATGTTGACTTACTTTATACACATATATGCACAGGCTGGTATCGAAATATCTGTCCGCTGTGACGGAGCATACTATTTTTCATAAAAACACTAAGAATACTTCACGATTTATTTTTTAACTCATATGTTTCGTTATACCATACAAAATTACTTACTCCATGCAATGGATATATCATTTACGGGTAACTTTCACTTCTGTTTGAAGTCCAATTACGCTGGGAAGAAAAGCTATTGAAAATGGCGCCGGAGTATCATACTTCAAAATGTACCATTTCTTGTTTAACTTTCTAATGGCACGATATAGTGACACGATAATATTTACACATGGTTTCAGCATAACTATGAAGGTATAAATGAGATGTTGATGTATTTGATATTTTTAATTCTTTTATAAAAAATAATGCTTAATTTTTTTGTCCGCTGTGACGGAGCAGTTGCAAATGTTAACTGTGAAAATGCTCCGTCACAGCGGACAAAAAATATTAATTTTATTTTTTATAAAAAAATTAAAAAGACCCAATGCATTAATATCTCATTAATAAATTCAGAGTTATGCTGAAAACATATGTTAATATTATCGTGTCACTATATCATGCTATTAAAAAGTTAAAAAAGAAATGGTACATTTTAGAGTTTGATACTCTGGCGCCGTTTTCAATAGATTTTACTCCTAGCGTTATTGGACTTCAAACAGAAGTGAAGGTTACACACAAATGATATATCCATTGCATGGAGTAAGTAATTATCTTTGATATAACGAAACATATGAGTTAAAAAATAAATCGTGAAGCATTCTTAGTGTTTTTATGAAAAATAGCATGCTCCGTCACAGCGGACAAATCTTTCGATACCAGCCTGTGATATGGGACCATTAAAAGATACAAATTGATTTTAATCGAAAGTTTTAAAAACACTTTAAACATTTTAATGTGGCTGTAAAGGATAAAGAGTGTCAAGTTTGAAAGTTGTAATTTACCTGGACGAAGAGTTGATATCAGAATGAGATCAAATAAAGGGAAATAGATAGAGATGCAGAAATATTCATTACAACTAAAAAAGAAACGTCCGATCTTTAAGTATAACTGACTGACCGAACGCAGGAAATATATGTATAATTGATAATGATAATTAATTCATGCTTTTATTACAAATGTTTTAGAAAAAGTTGTTAACACTATAGTAAAACATTACAATTTTTAAAAAGGTTACCCATAGGATCAACATTATTTTTCAAGTTACTCGAATGAAACAATTTAAACAACTATTAAAACACTGCAGGCTCCCAAGAGCGTGTTTTAAGGTGAAAAACCACAAGGTTATGTGTGCCAGAGATTAATATGAACATCCTTTGCTTTTAATTTTTAACTGACAGAATTATGAGGTGAAATTGACCTTCAACTCGTTAACCAAGTTGAAGTACGAACTGTATGTGGTGTGAAGTAGGTGAACTCATGATTGTTGTTTATATGCAGACCGACTACAGTTTACTACGTTCGTTGCCCTATGAGTGTTTAGAGATCGGTAAGATTACTAATTTAAAGAGCACTACTACAACACGGTGGGGATAGTTATCACGTGACCTTCGTAATTGATGGTGTCTGAATTGAACGATTTTCTCGATTAAGCCAGAAAAATGAATATTCTTCATATTTATACTTTGTTAACAGCATCAACTTTCTCCCCACTTAGGCCTATGTATACTATCTCAGTCTTTTCAACGAGTCTAAATTGTCAAGCGAGTCTCATACTACACCGTTTTTTTCAAACTTGTTCCATTCAAAGCAAAACAAAATTGCCTTTCTGTTGGTACATTGCTTTATTGTAAAGAGTCCCTCGTCTTAGCAGCGTTTTGGTCCCCAGTTGTGAGAAGCCCTTGCCCTTCTCACAGCTGGGGACCCAAATGCCGCTGAAAGTAGGGACTCTGTATAGCAGAATAGTGTACCAACAGAAGGGCATTTTTGTTATGCTTTGAA